CAGTAGCTTTAATCATGGGCCTATTTTTCCTTTTTTAACATAGATGATGACTATCAATAGCTGCCTTGGATGGAGCCGTCTCATGCCTTATCATATAAGGCCAGCGGGATATTATGTTTCTCCAGATGTCATGCAGTATGAATTACACAATCATTTTTATGCAACCTTCTTGCTAAAAATGGATCTAGACTCTAGATCTAACTATCACCTTACAAAAAAATAAAGGGACAGAAAAACGTGTTCAACTTAACTACAGGGTTGAATTAACAAAATCCAGAAGACAGAAAACTCTTCAGGATAATACCCTATTTCCTACAACAAATTACAAGAAAAAAAAAAAGATGAGGGGATGGAATTTACAGATTAAAAAAAGTTAAGATAGGAGATGACAGCAGAGTAGAAGGACCTTGAGCTCACCTCCTCTCATGAGTACAACCAAATCACAACTAATTGCTGAACAACTATTGGTTTTAAAAGACTGGAAACTACCAAAAAAGATCTTCTACATCTGAAGACATAATGAAAGAACCACAATAAGACGATAGAAGGGCCACACTCATGATATAATCAAATCCCATACCCCCCAGGTGGGCAACCCACAAACTAGAGAGTAATTACACTGCAGAGTGCTCCAACAGGAGTGAGAGTTCTGAACCCCACATCAAGCTCCCTGCCCCGAAGGTCTGTCATCAGGAAGAGGAGTCCCCGAGCATTTGGCTTTGATGGCCAGTGGGGCTTGACTGCAGAAGCTTCACAAGACTGGGAGAAATAGAGACTTCACTCTTAAAGGATTCACACAAAATCTCACATATACCAGGTCTGAGGACAAAAGCAGTAATTTCACAGGAACCTGGGCCAGATCTACTTGCTGGTCTTGCAGGATCCCCTGGGAAGATAAGGAGTGGCTGCAGCTCACCATGGGGATGTACAAGCTAATGTTAGATATATCGAGGAGTATTCATCTGCGTGAACATTGACATTTTGCATGGATCATTAGTACCAAGACCAGGCCCAACCCAACAGCCTGTAGGCTTCAGTGCTGGGACACCTCAGGCCAAACAACTAACTATGTGGGAACAAAGTTCTACCCAGCAGAAGACAGACTGCCTAAAAACTTCCTGAGCCTACAGCCACCTCTAAATACACCCCGAGACACAGCCCTGCCCACCAGAGTGGTAGGACCCAGCTCCACCCACCAGTGGGTAGGTACCAGCTCCTCCCAGCAGGAAGCCAGCACAAGCTTCTAGACCATCCTCACCCACCAGGGGGCAGACACCAGAAGCAAGATAACTGATACCACAGCCTGCGGAACCCAATCCATAAACACAAGCCAGACTGGACCCTGAGACTAGCTGCCCCCTCACCCTTGGGTGGCAAGAGGGGAATGTACTGCTGGGACACATAGGATGTCCCCTATCGAGGGCCACTTCTCCAAGGTCAAGAAATGTAACTTACCTACCATGTACATAAAAATAAAAATAGAAGTTTAGACAAAATGAGGTGGCAGAGGAATATGTTCCAGATGAAGGAACAAGACACAACCCCAGAAGAACTAAGTGATGTGGAGACAGGCAACCTACCTGAGAAAGAGTTCACAGTAATGATCCTAAAGATGATCCAAGAACTTGGGAAGAGAATGGATGCATAGAGCAAAAAGTTAGAAGTATTTAACAAAGAGTTAGGAAATATAAATAACAACCAAACAGACCCGAAGGAAACAATGACTGAAATGAAAAATGCACTGAAGGAATCAATAGAATAAATGAGGCAGAAGAACGATCAGTGAGCTAGAAGACAAGGTAGGAGAAATCACTGCCACAGAATAGAAAAAAGGAAAATAGAATGTAAAGAAATGGGGACAGTCTAAGAGACCTCTGGGCCAACATCAAGTGCACAAATATTCTTATTATAAGGGTCCCAGAAGAAGAAGAGAGAGAGAAAGAGCCTGAGAATATATTTGAAGAAATCATAGCTGAAAACTTCCCTAACCTGGGAAAGGAAATAGTCACCCAAGTCTGGGAAATGCAGAGGGTCCCATACAGGATCAACCTAAAGAGAAGGACACTAAGGAACATGGTAATCAAATTGACAAAAGCAGAAGATAAAGAAAAGTTTTTATTGGGGATTCATTATGTAGGCATGACTGACTGAATCATTAACCACATGACTGAATTCCATCTCCAGCTCTCCCTCCCCTCCCCAGAGGTTGGACTAGCTTCAAAACCCAGGCCTTTAATCACATCATTGACTTTTTCCCCCTCATCCTCTGTCATCTCGCTAACATAAACTTAGGTGTGACTTAGAAGTGTTCATGAATAACAGAAGCACTCCTATTACTCCAAGAATTTAGCGTCTCCAAGAACTTAGGAACCAGGGACAAAGGCCAGTCGATTTTTTAAGTCATGTAACAGGCACATACCAGAAGAAATGAACTTGGTTGACCTTGAGCTTCTCCAGAGTAATATTTAATGCCACATAACAGAGGAACAAGGCCTACAGTTTTCTGAGAGAAATAAAATCTAACACAATAAATTTACACCTAGCCAAGCCAAACTCCCCGTAAAGTCTATAGAGAGGCATTGTAAATTAAGCAAGGGAATACTCATTACAAGCTCTTGTGAGGAAAAAAAAAATCCTAGATGTTAAATTTAGCTAAAGAAGAAAAACTTTAAAGAATACAAAGAAGGAAAAGGAGGCAAGAATATTCAATGGAGAAAAGTCAGTCTCTTTAGCAAGTGGTGCTGGGAAAGCGGGATAGTCACATGTAAATCAATGAAGTTAGAACATTTCCTCACACTCTACACAAAAGTAAACTCAAAATGGCATAGAGACGTAAATATAAGACATGACACCATAAAACTCCTAGAAGAGAACATAAGCAAAACATTTTCTGACATAAGTCCTAGCAATGTTTTCCTAGATCAGTCTCCCAAGGCAAAAGAAATAAAAGCAAAAATAAACAAATGTGACCTAATTAAACTTAAAAGCTTTTGCACAGCAAAAGAAACCATAAACATAATGAAAAGCCAACTTACAGAATGGGAGAAAATATTTGCAAATGATGTGACTAACAAGGGATTAACTTCCAAAATATACAAAGAGCTTATACAGCTCAGTATCAAAAACAAACAAATAACCCAATCAAAAAATGGGCAGAAGATCTAAATAGACAGTTCTCTAAAGAAGACATACAGATGGCCAACAACCACATGAAAAGATGCTCAAAATCACTAATTATCAGAGAAATGCAAATTAAAACTACAATGAGGTATCACCTCACACCAGTTAGAATGCCCATCATTAAAAAGCCTACAAGTTATAACTGCTGGAGAAGATGTGGAGAAAAGGGAACCCTCCTACACTGTTGATGGGACTGTAACTTGGTGCAGCCATATGGAAAACAGTTATGGAGCTTCCTTAAAAAACTAAAAATAGACTTACCCTAAGATCCAGCAATCCCACTCCTGGGCATATATCTGGAAAAGACAAAAACTCTAATCTGAAAAGCTACATGCATCTTAATGTTCATAACATACTATTTACAATAGCCAAGATATGGAAATAACCTAAATGTCCATCAAGTGAATAGATAAAGATGTGGTATACATATACAATGGAATATTACTTAGCCGTAAAAAGGAATGAAATAATGCCATTTGCAGCAACATGGACAGACCTGGAGATTATCCTACTAAGTGGAATAAGTGAGACAGAGAAAGACAAATATCTTATGATATCACTGCTATGTGGAATCTAAAAAAAAATGATACAAATGAACTTATTTGCAAAGCAAACAAACTCACAGACATAGAAGAGAAACCTTTGGGTACCAAAGAGGAAATGGGGATAGGGAGGGATAAATTAGGACTTTGGGATTAACAGATACACGCTAGTATACATAAAATAGATAAACAAGGACCTACTGTCTAGCACAGGGAACTATATTCAATATCTTGTAATAACCTATAATGGAAAATAATCTGAAAAAAATATATATTTCATGTATATATTCATATATGTATATATATGAATCGCTTTGCTGTACACCGAAAGTAACACAACATTGTAAATCAACTATACTTCAATACATATAAAAGAAGAAAACATGAAGGAGAAGGTGTGTGAAAAGCACCCCTGAATCAACTTCTACATTTGATCAGGGTTTCTCAGCCTGGGCATTTGTGTTTGGGGTTAGGTAATTAATTCTTTGTTGTAGAGGCTGCCTTGTGAATTTTAAGATGTTTAGCAGCATCCCTATTCTCCATACACTAGATGGCAGTGTCACTGCTACCTCCCTCTCCCTCCAGACAAGGTGTGACAACCCAGTATGCCTCCAGGCATAGACCAACATCCCCCTCGGGCACAACCGCCCCCAGTTGGCAATCACTCACATAAACTAATGCTTGATCACTGAGAAAGTTCTAGTTACAGAAGAGAACACATGTGTCTCAAAATCTGACAATAATTCAGCTAATAAAAATCAAAGGGCTAGGGGAGGGAGATAGGAGAAATGGAAAGTACCAATTAATTTCTCAAAGTAGATACTGATTGATCCAGTCTAATTAGAAAAATGTAGTTTAAAAAAATGTCTCATCACTTAAGGTTTTCCTTACCTCTGGTGAGATCTTTTGGGATCTTTTAGGAACTATTAATGTTCCTAGTGAAGAAATGTCTACCTGGAAAATGGCTGTTTTCAGTTTCACTTCAGTTGTTTTTCTCTCAGTTCAAGCTTAAAATCTTTTTATTCAAAACATTATGCATATCCTGGACCCATTTTTATCAGACTATCCATCTACCTTCCATCTGTAAATACGAATAAATACTTGAAATCTTGTGGGCCCAGAGTTAGTAACATTTGCTTCTTCGTGGTGAGATTTGAAATGTTATCTGACTTCCTCCTTTATACTTTTCTATGTTGCTTGAATTTTTAAATGACCATGAATCATTGACATATAAAATAATTTTTCTTTATTGTTTTTCTCTTTTTCTTTTTAATGCAGGAAAATGGATGTGGGGCGTGAGGAGGGCCGAGTCCCAGATCTTGGTTGAGTCCTTGGGATGTGCCCTGCCGAGTGTGAGTCCTTGGCTTTGCGCAGGAAAGAATTCAAGTGCGAGCCACCGTTGAGTAAAGGTATATTTATTTAGAGAGATACGGCGTAGAGTGTAAGGCAAAAGAGAGGCAAGGAAGGAGGTGTAGGAATTGGGTGCTCAGATTAAAATGAAAGTAGGTAAAAACTCCATAGACAGAGTGCGGGCCCGTCTCCAAAGGGGAGAGGGCAGAAGAGGCCATTAGGCGTGGTGTTGGCACTGTCTTAGTAGCTTCACACTCCTTCAGGTGGGATCAATCCAACTGCCCTGGGGAAGGCGCTGGGATTCCCAGGAATTGGGCCATCGCCTACTCTTTGGCCTTTTGCGGTTAGCCTTGGGACTGTCATGGCGCCTGCGGGCATGTTATTTGATCATGCTGTTACAATGAGCATGTAATGAAGCTCCAAGTCTACTAGAAGTTAAACCTCTTAATCCTCAAGGCCAACTAGGAGGTGAGTCTTCCACCATTTTGGTGTTAAATTGCTGTCATTCCTTGAGTGGCTGTGCCCTGCCCTCTTCCCTCCTGTCTCATTTTTAGTGTCTGATTTTCATAGATAAGGCTTCTTCACTCACTCCTTTAGCAAATACTTACTGAATACCTATAATACATTGAGCTGTGTTCTAGCTATTTGGGATTCAGTGATGAGCAAGACAGATAAGTTACTTGCATTCTAGTTAGTCTAGAAAGAGCTGACAAAGTATTATAATATTAACTTGGCGTGCTGACCATTGCCTTATTCCTGATTAAATGGAATGCCTCTGCTGGGAAACAAGCTGCTGGAAAACAAGCCGCACCTAAATTTCCATGAGCTTAAAATATTATAATCACACTTACTTGCTTAAAATGCACATGCTTGCTTTGTTTTAATGTTTTACACAGATGAAATTTATGAGGAGAAATCCTGAGATTGACCGTAAGGGCACGAAAGAGGGCAGATATTTCCTTAGGGTAAAACAAAGGACGGTCCTGGAAAGCCAGATCATTCATTAACAGAACTTTGTTCTGGCAAGAAAGCATGCTGTTTAACCCAGGGGAAGTATTTGCTATCTTGAGATGTCCCAGAGGCAATAATGGGATAGACTTAGAAAATTTGTATACCCCGAGGAGGGTGATTGTTCCTGGAAGGGATAGGCCTGAGATTAATCAGTTAACCAGCAAGCAGAATTTAGTGCTTATCTCATGAAATATCTAAAGCCCCACCTCTTCAATCGCATTTTTTTCCTGAGCTTTATACTCCTAATAAATATGATGTCGACCAGGCTTTTGGAGTTCTAGAGCCTCGAGATCTTGAGTTCCCTGGTCCCATCTTTGCTCTTTACTTAGTCTCTTTGTTTCTTAAGTCTTGCGTCGCCCGTCCTCAGATACGGTCCCGGGCTGTGCTGGACACAGCATGCCTCTAACATTTCACCCTTAAATGTTTCTAATATTTCAATATCAAAATACGTTATTGATAGATATTCTTTATCACATTGCTTCCTTCTATTCATGTTTCACTTTTGGAGGTGGTGAGGATTGTCATGGATGAGTGTTGAAATTCATCAATTACTTTTTCTCCATTCACTAAAATTCCCATATGGTTTTTCTTCTTTTACCTTTTTATGGGGATAAGCTCAAACAGATCATAATGAATTCTTTGTTGTTTGCAACATTGCTGGTTTCAGTGTGTTAATAATTTATTTATTTTTATTTATTACTGAAGTATAGTCAGTTAACAGTGTGTTAATTTCTCATGTACAGCAAAATTTATTTTTGACTTTTTGTTTCTGCTCATAGTTCGTTGGAGTTTGCTTGGTATTTTCTGTCTAGCAGTGTTGTCTGGTTTTGCTACTGATGCTATTCTAATCTGAAAAAATAAATGGGAGAACTTCTACTCCGGGAAAATGCAGTAGACACACTTTTCCTTATGCTTCTTGCTAAATACACTAAAAATCCCTAGACATTATACAGATAACAACATAAAGAGAAACGTACTGTGAAAGGTATAGAGAAGAAGGCAGACTGTCTATAGACTTCGGGACCCAAAGAGTAACACAGTGGCCACTTGCCTGGGTTTTCTTTTTTGCCTCATATATCCTAGACTTGGAGTTGAGAGAACCAGCAACCCAGAAACACCAATGCGTATAGACAATAAAATATCCAACAAAAGTCTGCTTTCTTTTGTCAAAGGACCAGGAAAAGAAGCAGCCTAGAAAACAAACAAACAAAAAAAATTTTTAAATATTAATTGCTTTACTCCACCCAAATACCACAGGGGGAAAAAAAATCATGGTTCCACCTATTCACTCTTATGCCAGCAAAGGAAGACTTCTATATTCATGAATATCCCCATACCTCCCACTGGGATGGTGTCAGAGAACAAGTAGGGAACTGGCCAGTGTCAGTAGAGAAACAGGGAGGAGCTGGGATTCTCATCACCATCCAGCAAGAATAAGAAACTCTTCCCCACTCTGGTATCATTGAGGACTAAGTGGAAAACCTGGACTTCTATGCCCACCTGGCAATAATAATAATATTATACCCTCCCACCTTCCCTGCCAGAGCAGTGCCAAATAAAGCCAGCTAACATAATGTTTAGATAAGATCCAGAGCATCATTAAATAATACAAAATGTCCAGGTTTCAGTTGAAAAATCGCTCTTCTTACCAAGAAACAGAAAGATCTCAAACTGAAAGAGAAAAGAAAATCAACAGATGCCAACACCAAGCTGACAGATTTTATAAGCATCTGACAAAGGCTTTAAAGCAGCCACAATAAAAATTCTTCAATGAGCAATTAAAAATATGCTTGAAACAAATGAAAAAAACAAATCCTTTGTGAAGAAATAGAAAATGTCGAGAAGAACTAAACGGAGATTTTAGAACTGAAAATACAATAAGAGAAATAAAAATATAATTAGATGGGCTCTACAGCAGAGTAGAAGGAACATAAGAAAGAACTCAGTAGAATGGGAAGATAGAACAATAGACATTATCCAATCTTAACAACAGAGAGAAACAGGCTAGAAAAAAACCAAAGGAGGAGATTTCAAGATGGTTCCCATGAACACAAATTTACAGCTACATATGGAATAAATCCCTTAGGAAGGACCCTGAAACTGGATGAACAGATTCACCCCAAGAAAGGGTAAAAAGATAACATCAAGATGGTAGGAGAGGCAGAGATACAGACTCGCCAAGGAAAAAAACCACACCCCAGCCTGGCAATCCACAGATGGGAGGATTACAAAGGGATGGTTATTTTCCCTGAGGAATAAGGGATTCAAGCTCAGCATCAGACACCTCAACTCATAGATCCTGCAAAGGAGGATAAAGCTCCTAAAACACCTGGCTTTAAAAACTAAAGGAGAATGAAGACATACAAATGGCCAATAGTCACATGAAAAGTGTAAGACATTGTTGAAAGAAATAGAAGACT